ACATAACACTTCTAATTGTCATTTTATGGATATTTCGTCTGCGAGATCGGCACCCATGTATAGATTTCAATCTTGCCATTTTATGAATATTTCGTCCGCAGGAGCGGCACCCATGTATAGATTTCGGGACTTTCACCCAGGACACTCCGGCCAACTTAATTATAATGGAGTCCATCCATTTCTTCTTCCAAACAAACATACATATGCAATGTATATAAATACGTAATCACACATGGAGTACATCCCCTTTTCGACTCCCAAATAAACATGCATATACAATATATTTACAACATGATCATATTCAATGATAAACAACCATGAGATAGTTTCAATTCACCTAATCCACATCCAATTTCTACAACAATCAAAGCTATCCTCTACCGATAGCCCAATACAGATATTTCTAAACAAACATATATTATCAAGACAAATAATTTATTCAAAATTTCCAAAGATGAGACACATTATCTATTTCATTTCACCATCCATTTCAATACTTGTCCAATTTCAAGTTTACAACATCAATTTCATTTATTTATACAAAATAATTATAAAACCAATCTAGGGCAAACTCCCTCTTTTCTCCAAATCTCAACCAAGTATCAAAATCAACTATTTCGACATCATACAACATCATTTTCAAATCCCACCATCATTTCCTTCTCATTCACCAAAACGCCCTCTTTCCATTTTATATCCAAATCCTAGGTTTTGTTCAAAATACCACCAAAACCCACCATTGTTACGCAATCACAAATAACTAAGTTAAAACTCATAACAAAGTGTAGAAAATCCCTATCTCAAAGAGAGAAGACGAGCCAAGTAAGGATGGAACCCCAAAAGTGCCAAAACCCAACTTTAATCGGTTCAAAGAGAAGATCTTGAGGAGCTCTATCTTTTTAATGAAGGCTCAAGGGTGTAGAGATCAAAGGATTTAGGTCAAAATGTAGAGAGAAAGTAAGTTTTAGAGAAAAAGGCTCTCAACTTTAGGGTTTTGGGTGAAAAGACATGAAAAAGAAATGTAAAAAGTGCTTTTCGCAATCTAATACACGCGCAGTCCGCTCAAGTAGAATGTTTCACGCTTGAGCGTCAGACACAAAGATTTTATCTGCTCGAGCACAGAATGCACACATTCAAAACTTTTGCAGATGACAGACATACCACTCGAGCGTAAGGAAGGCCGCTCGAGCGTCAACCCGCTCTAGCGTAGGAAACCCCGCTCAAGCGTGAAAAACACTTCTCCAGTACTTTTGCAGAGACGCGCAAAGTACTAGGAGTTTGCAACTCCCACTCAAGTGCAAGAAGGCCCGCTCGAGCAGAGGACCAATATTCTAGGCAGCACCAAATTTGAAAACTAAGCAACCAAGCCATTACAAACGCACGACCACAACCCGATTAGCAAAATAAATGGGAGACAAGAGAAACAAGATATGAATCATTATTCGAAACCATACAAACTCGAGTCCATAATACAACAGGTGACGGGTCAAAATTGGAATCGCTATAGCCTATCCCTTGTGGGCTGTGCTTGGGACTAATTATTCTCTTTATAACTTGCTGAATTTTCCTTTGTGTGGGCTGCTGGATGAAATATGCTATTTGAATGTGTTGAAAATATGTTGACAGATATGCTATTGACAGATTGTCATCCTTATTGATAAATATGCTATTTGAATATCTTGAAAAAAAGTTGACAAATTATTTGAATGTTGAAAATATGTTGACAGATTATGCTATTGAGTGGAGCTTGAATATGCTATTTGAATATCTTTTATGTGGAAAATATGTTGACAAATATGTTTGAATAGGATGTTTACGGATCAAAAAAAATGTTGACAAAATTTTTAAAAATGGACTGGATGTTATTTTTTTGTTTACAGATTTTTTAATTTGAAAATATGTTGACAAATATGTTTAAATAGGATGTTTACAGATCAAAAAAAAAAAAGAAGAAGAAGAAAAAAAAATCTGATATGCTGCTGTAATTTGGGAATTTGAGGGGTCGGGGGTACCTGATCCCCGATCAGGGACGGGGACGGGGACGGGGACGAGGAATTTATCACTTTCAAAGATCAGAGACGGGGAGTGTAGTCCCCGGTCTTGTCCCGCCCCGTTGTCATTCCTATGTGTCTTGTCTATTTAGATATTGTCTTTTACATTTATTTTCCATCTTTCGTTCTTCCTGTGATTTACTTTTTCTTAGCACTCTAAGTTTTAGTAGTTTATCTCATTTTGAATAAATTATATTACGTGGGTAAAAAATCATACCAAATTGTTGATGATGAGAACTGTTCTTCTTGAGGTTGAGAAGTGATACTGAATATTATGAGCAATGATATATTTTTTAATTTTGAAACTTTAATTAAGTTCTAATGATATAACAGGGAATAAAAAAAAATTAAAAATAAAATCAAAATATCACATCACAATGAGATTCCCTTCCATAAGAACACATTAAAATTCCTTTATTAGAATTCTCAATATTTTTTTGTGAATATTAAATATGAATGCGCAAAGATCTTCACCAACAAAATCAGGTTTCATAATTGCTCAGTGGTGTCGTCAAATGACCAGGCACTCTAGTGCCTAACTCAACGACTCACTTAAGAATATTTAATTGCTCTAATACTGAAAGCTATGCAGCCTTTATTAGGGGTGCGCGGTGCGGTTCGGGCGGTTTGAGAAGAAAATTACAAATTGAATAGCAGGTGAGCGGATTGACGGATTGACAAATTATGGTTTGGACCGTTTTTGGCAGATTGGCAGATTAAAAAATATTCTAACTAATTATCATACATTTACATAATATATAACACTAATTTGTATAATATTTTTTAGATATATAACACAAAGTAATTTTACATAATATGTTCTATATATATAACCACTAATTTGTAAAAAATTTCATATCTAAAATCTCTCTCACACTCATTTTTACATTGATATTTCATTAGAAGTTAAAAAATATATATGTATTAACAATAGCAGAGCGGAGTGGTTCGGTTGGCGGATTATAAATTTTAAAATTTAAACTGCGGTCAGCAGTTAGAGCGGTGCAGATTGATGCGGACTATAGCGGAGCAGAGCGGTTTAGTTGGCGAATTATAAATTTTAAAGTTTAAACCGCGGTTAGTGGTTAGAGCGGTGTGGATTGATGCAGATCGGTGCGGTTTTAGCGGATTGGGCGATATTTTGCACAGGCCTAACTATACTCAACCCCTTCTCATCTCATGACCTTTTAGTTTGTTCCAATAACCTTTTAATATTTGCCCTTTCTTTTTTAAGTAAGGTAGTCTTTAACAAATTATATTCAGGAGGGACATACCCAATAATTTGATTCTCAGCAGCATATTGAAAAGCACCCACAAAATATAGATTCCTAGCCAAATGGAAAGGCAAACCAGCTGAATAGAACATACGAGCAATTAAAGAATATAAATGTTCTCTGGCATTTTAATTGAATGCCTTATTCAAAGGACTACTCCCAATTGTCTTTCTTTTTCTTGGTTCATAACCTTATATTATAAATGTTTCAACATCTCCTACCCTGTCGTGGCTAGTACTAATTTGGAAAGATGGAGGTCGTAAAGGAACATTTTTAGGCTTTGCCATCTTTTTCAGATTCTCAACTTCTTGATCTGCCTTTCGAATTCCAGAAAGAAGATCACTCTTGTCCTTCACAATTGCGCACACTCTAATTCCATGGCTAGTAAGTAGCAACAAATGGGCTTTAACTCTAGAATATGACCCTTGGTACTCAATGTTACAAAAATTATACTTAAATTTTGTATTACCACTTCCTCCTTCCCCCCATTTGACTAATTTTGTAATGTAGCTCCAAAGGGGAGCATTTTCATTTCCAGATTGATCAATGGAAAGAGCAGAAGAAGCACTTGCAGATGAACCTAAACTGTTTGATGAACTCATTTTCCTATAATATAAAACCATTAAGCATTAAAAATAATATTTGTGAAATCTCTCACTTTGACATGTTATGATGTTATGCACTGTGATCATAATTTATTTTTAAAATCTTTCTTTTTGCTCATCAACTTGCTATTTTTATAGGGTGAGACCAAAGAAATAACAGGAGACCAAAGAAAGATTTTATAAAGACAACAGATGAAGAACAACAACGATCAACATTACACAAAAAAGCACTTGAATTAAGTCAAAATCAAGATAATACTCTACTACATTTACACAGATCAATAATCTCATCCATCAATGCAAGCTTAACTAAGAATTGAAGAGAGAAATTGAAAGGTCTTACATGAAATCAATATTGTGCTCAAGAGAACAACGCTGATATCTGCAAAAGAGAAAATAGAGGGGTCTTGGCTGAAGAGAACAACGCTGATATCTACAAAAGAAATAACAGAACAAAATTGCTGATCTGCAGGGGCACCAAAAAAAAAAAAAAAGAGATGAAGAACACTCATTGAAGGGAAAACGAAGAAAGGAACAAAGAAAATGAAAACCAGTTGCAGATCTGTAGAAAAAAAAAATGTAAAAACGAAGAAGAAGAAGAATAAACGAATAAGACGAAGACGAAGAAGAAGATGAAGAACACTCGCCGGAGGGCTTCGTCTCGTTGCGTCGCCGTCACTGGAGGGCTTCGAAGTGAAGAGATGTTGCTGAAGAAGACTGCGCCGTTTCTCTTCGCTGTTGCTAAAGTGAAGAGATGCAAGAAGGGACAAAATCTAGGTGTTATATATTCTTAATATTACAAAATAACACTGTATTTTTTTTTTTTTGATAAAGAACATAAATAAATTGCTCCAGTACCCCTAATTGTCTTACAAATTAGATTTTTTGCCCCCGCGTACCCGAAACGTATCAATGGCATACCTATGTCGTGCCTATGACGCACCTGATTGAACCAAATGTACCAAACCCCCTTTTGCCTTACCCAGTATGCGTGCAATCGTACCAGTACGCGTACCCACACCCGGTAAGTACTCGGTACTCGTACGATACTATTTTTAGAGTACCGTGCTTCATAGGATCTTAGCATCCTCCACAAGTCCTTTGAATGGAAATTTGTCATCTGGATCTGCTTCCATCAACTGCACCACTTGCTCTGCATCTATCTCAATAATCACATTGTGCATACCTTTTTGAAGATGATTGTTAACCCTTTGTAGAGAGCCATTGTGAAATTTGCCATAGTAACCATACACCCAAGCTTCTCTTTCATCTCTGAAGAGTCCACCAAATCCCTCTCCACCTCCAAGCTTCCTGTTGCCATCAATGTTAAGCTTGATTTTCCCTGCAGGTGGCAAATTCCATTTAGTTAGTTTAAAAGTTGGTTTATGCATTAAAATAGTCATGTTAAACGCTTGATTGATCTCTCTAGAATAATCCAAAATATAATTAACACTTTCTTGGCAACTAGTCACAAAGTTTTCAAAAATAAAGAGATTTCTATTTTTCCAAATTTTCCACAAAGCCATAATCACTACAACAAAATGTACTTTTGGTGACTAAATTTGGCGACTAAAAAAAATTTAGTCGTCAAAAGCTGTGAAATTGGCGACCAAATTTTTTTTTAGTCGACAAAAGTACAATATTTAGCTTCTAATTTTTTTTAGTCGGGGTATATTGAAAAAATTTAGTCGCCAAAAATGCTACAATTGGCGACTAAAAAATGTTTTAGTCGTTGTATGATTGGTTTTGGCTACTAAAATTAGTTAGTTGCCGAATAAAAAATAAAAATTTAATTTTTATCTTTGGCGACTAAATTTTTGGTTGCCAAAAGTGTGTTTTTAGCAACTAAATATTTTTGTAGTCGCTGTATGATTAGTTTTGGCTATTAAAATTATTTAGTCACCAAATGTAAAATATAATTTTAATTTTTATCTTTGACGACCAAATTTTTGGTCGGCAAAAGTGTGTTTTTAGCGATTAAAAAATTTTTTAGTCGCCAAAAAATTAAAATATTTAGAGGGAGATATTTCAAATTTTGGAGGGGCGACTAAAAAATTTTTGGTCGCTAATCGTGTAAAATGATATATATTTTGAGCGCCTGTCTCTCTCTTTATTTCCAGCCTCTCTTTCTCCCCCCCTCTCTCTCTTTTTCTCTTCTCTTCACCTATGGTGGATCTCACCATAATCTTCTTGAAGGTGTTGTAGTACAGAGAAAGAGATGGGTGTTGTGTTCACCACCCATAATCTTCTTCAACATCAGTCTGCTGCCATAGCAACTCCGCGACTGTCCCCCACCATTGAAGAGGAAGATCAGCAAACAGCAAAAACCCAATGCAACATTGACACCCACCCTCGCTCTTCGCTACCGACGCTGAATTCCCTAAATCAGAGGTATTTTTCTTCAGTTCTTTGTACTCTGAATTCCCCAAATCAGAGCTTTTTTGGACTTGCAATTCAGTAACGATTGAACTGTATTATTGTATACGTACATACATAGATTGATGAGATATATATCTATGATGGGTTCACCGTCAAAACGTACTGAGTCAAACTAGATACCGAGTAAACCCAATTTGGGAGGAGGTTACCAAACGAAAGGATCAAGGATGGCTGGGCATTAGAAGAATCAAAGATGTGAATGACTGTTTGTCAGTTAAATGGTGGTGGCGTTTTGGTTCTGAAGATAGTACTCTTTGGAAAAGAGTCCTATGTAGTAGGTATCAGTCTATGTGTGGGCGTTGGCTTCCTTGTACAAACTTTAGTGGCAGCTATTCATCATTATGGGGTGAGATTTTGAATATTGGTCAGTCAAACCCTTTTTACTGAGCCTTTTTTTGGATAATTCACAGATAGTTGTGGAGAATGGGTGTAGAGTTCATTTTTTGGATGATCATTGGCTGGGGAATTATTGTATCAAGAGTGATTTTCCTAGGCTCTACTGTTTATCATCTCAGAAGGATTTGTCTTTGAGCATGATGATTGAAAGGATAAGGAACTCAGGTATTTGGAACCTCAATTTCAGAAAGCCCTTATTTGCTTGGGAGTCTGAGGAGTTGGCAAGATTATACTCTGTTATGAATCAAGTGGAGTTGATGACTTCAAGTAGGGAGGATCATTTGAAGTGGATGGCATGTCAATCAGGTCAATTTAGTGTCTCTTCCCTTTATAATCTGTTAGTTCCTACAAATTCTGTGCTAGTTACTAAGCTGCTGTGGAATAATGTGGCTCCACCAAAAGCCCAATTCCTTAGTTGGTTGGCTTGGAAGGGGAGATTGAAGATTGCTGGGTTTTTACGTCACATTGGTGTGCTGAATCAGAATACTTCTGTCAATTGTGTGTTCTGTGGTCAAGCCGTAGAAATAGTAAACCATGTTCTTCTTTAGTGTCCTATTGTTTGGAAAGTGTGGTCATGCCTCATGAATTGGTAGGGGATGCACTGGGTAATACCTGATAACGTTAATGGGCTACTGCAGTGGTGATGGGGTTATAAATGGAGAAAGTTCGAAAATAAAATTTGGAAGGCCATTCTGATGGCTGTCATGTGGTCATTATGGAAAATTAGAAATGATGTGGTCTTTAACGGGAGAATCTTCCTATTGGATGAATTAAGCGAATTGATTAAGGTGAGAATTGCCTTTTGGGTTAAATCTCTATCAAAGGAGCCTCCGTATTCAGTTTAGGATATTATTATTAACTTGCAGCATATCAGAGCTATCAGTTACTAGACATTGTATCTGTATGTTGGGGGTGTGGGTGTTCTGCAAGGTAAGTATGCAGCTGTCTGTCTGTGCATTGTTCTGGTTTGGGAGTATTGCTGCTGTCTGTTCTGAGTATGCTGGTTTTGCGATTCAAGACCTATATGTAGAGACTCATGAGCTGTGGGTGTTGAACCGAACTGTATTTGTTGTTTTATAAGGTTTGCTGGTTGCATATATATGCTATCTTTCCTTTGGCTTGGATATCCAATTACAAGCACATGCTCTTTTTATGTCTTTGTAATGGTAACAGAGGATGCATTGGTGGAGGTTAAGATGGTTTTGAGCTTGGGAGTGAGGCTGCTGTGCCTATGAGTAAGGTGAGCTGCAGTGGATGTTAACACAATGATGGTCAGGTATAAATATGAAGGACAAGGTAATGGAGGAATTTGTGACACAGGGGAGTTAAGTTGCTGTTGTATTTGAGGCTGCTGTATTTGTAAGCATTGATGCAGGCTTTGTTATCCTGTCTTCTTCCTCTATTCTTTTTGGTTGCTCTTCATTGGTTCCCATCAGAGAGGTACAGGTTCAGCTATTGTTTAGCTCATTGGTTCTGGTGCTGGGATTAAGGTGTTGCTGATGCAAATATGTTGTTGAAGCTGCTGTATTGCTGTTGTTTTCTCCAGCAGTGTTGATGTATTATTGCACTACTGATGGTGTGTTGTTTATTTATCGCGTTTTGGTTGCTTTTGATTGGTTTCTCACCAATCTTGGGTTATGCTAGCATATGATTGTGCTTCCTTTGCGGTGCCAACCTAGTTAGGATTGTTGAGGTTAGCTATGATGCTCTGTGCATTTCCCCGCTTTGTTGATGTAAACTTTGCGTGTATATTGTTTTTTATCAATAAAGCTTTTTTGCTGATAAAAAAAAAAGAGAAGAAGTTATAATCTATAATCTATTTTAACAGCTACACTAAACGGGGCCTAAAAGTTCTAATAACTCTAATCGGTGTGTGAGTCTCATATAATGTGATGTTTTTTTTTTCTTTTTTTCTTTTTTGCATCATTAGTACACTTTTAAAACTTTCAAATTAGAGGAATGTATTATTTCTGTTAAATAATTTCCCTGTAGCAACACATGGTTGGCCTGATGGCCTTGGACATCAGCATCAATTAGTGACTGTGCAGCAGGACATGGTTGGCCTAATGGCCTTGGACATCATCATCAATTCAAATGGTATCAAATTGTATTGATAATTAAAGTTTCGTTTCACATTGGTTAATATAATTTTTTTATTTTATATTGAGACTTTTTTAATTTAATTTTTTTAATCTTATTTAGTTTGAATTTTTTAATTTTTATGAAAGAAAAAATATAATGATTGTAAGTTGAATGTGATATTTTATCTTATTAATTTATTTAACGTAAATTATTATTTTATACTTTTTTAACCCAAAATAATAGCCACACCAAGGTTAAAGTAACAAAGGACACATGCTTCAAGGATGTCATATTTCTAAAAATAAATAATAAAAAAATAAAAAAAGTAACTCAATAAGTCTGGATGGAAGTTACGATTTTTATTTTATTTTTATTTTATGGAAATTATGAACAATGAAATTATGATGTATATTTTTAAACAATCCCGCTAGGTAGTTCAAAAAATTAGAGGTTTGAGTGGCCTGAAATCACAAAGCGACGTCATTTTGCCTTTTTCTTTTTTTCTTTTTTCTTTTCTTCTTTCTTTCCATAACTCGCAGAAGAAGAAGAAGAAGAAGAAAAAAGAAGAGAAAGGAGAGAAGAGGAAAGAAATAGAGCAGAGAGATTTAAACCCAAAAATCAAAAATCAAAAATCAAAACCAATACAAATCAAACTCACAAATCCATGAAAGACACACACACACACACACACATATACAGATCTGGAAAATCAAAAGCCAAATTCATGAAACACACACACGCATTTATACCTATATATACTTATCCATTTATACCTATATATAAGGAACATAAAATTATTAAAAATAAAAAAAAAATCCACACAAATTGGGTCATCCATCCCCTCTTTGAGCAAGAGCACAGAGATGACAAAACTCAAAAGAGAAAGAACATATTAATTTATAACACATACTAGTAGGAAGTTGTATAGTATTAGACAATCGGGATAGCATAGCAAAATGTCCATAGCCTTCTCTCAGCAGAGCTTGCTAATCAACGCTCTCACTCCATCCCACAAACCCAACAACAAGAAGAACTTGATTCCTTTGAATTCCATACCCATCCATGAAACACACACACACACACACACACACACATATATAGAAAAAGAAAAGAGAAGAGGAGAGAAGATCGCCGACAGTGTAGCAGTGACAGAAGAGAAAGAGGCGACGGCAGCGACGTGAGAAGATCGGCTCCCCCTCCCTCTTCTCTCTTCCTTTCTTCTTTCTTCCTCTCTCTTCTCTTTCACTCTCTCTTCCTCCCTCTCTCTGTTTCATAGATAAAAGAGAGAGGGGGAAAAAAAATCAAAACGACGTCGTTTTGAATTCAGGCCACTCGAGCCTCAGAAATTTCAAGCTCTGAAACATTTTTCATTTTTAAAATTATGACGTTGGTAGATTAAAAAATAAAATTTCGATTTAATTAATCTAAACTAAAGGTTCCTATTAAATTATGAATGTTTAATTAATAATTTAATATTTAAAAATAT